GACTGATCTATATCTGAATGCCTTACAAATGAACCTATTTATTGGAAAGATGGCAGCCAACTTGGCTGCCTAAATCCAGTGGGAACTGAGCAGTTGACAGCCCACAATACTGCTGTCATACAGCTGGCCCACCTCACCAACTAGCAACCCACTTGCCCAATTGTCTAGGCCTCCTTCCAGCCACTTTCCAGACAGGTACAGCCATTGTTGACTAGTCAAATAGGTTAGAAGGCATTCCAACAGGTTTGTTCCTGCAAAGAGGTTAGCGGTTTGGAAGGCTTATTTGGCACATCAAAACATATCTGAGGTTTGGCATTCAAGGCCAACAATCTCTTCCAAATTCGAGAGATATCAAAACCTTCCATTTGGAAGATTTGTAAGATCTGGAGATATCAAATCCGAATTCTTGTTATGTTTCACAAAACAGAAAAAAAGAATTTTGATATGGGAAGATATCAAAACCCATATCTTTTCTGCTCACCAAATGGGCCATCAGTTAAAGCTGTAGACTTGTAGATTATTTGACTAATGTAATTTGCTCATAACCATATAGGAGGATTATGATATATTACCAACATCAGTGCGTTTAGATGTGCTAATGCTAATATGAGAGTGAGTTTGTCATATGCTAGTGTTGCCAAGGATATGTACTGTACTCAGGAACACCCGAAACCTAATATTATAGTAGTTCGGTACATTTGGGCCTTAATTTGTAGGTTATGCAGGTGTGTTTTTTGCCTTAGTCTGTAGTTTGTGCGTGAGTATTTCTGTGCTCTGGTCTAGTTGCTAGTGACCAGCCAGACCAGTATGTGTTCCTATTGTGTTTGTGCTCCGACTTTGTTCTGATGGTGTATTTTTTTGTCTGTGTTTTTGTATTTGGACCTGGATTCTCTTGGAAACAGCGTATTTACTCCCAAGTAGGGATAAGGTCTAAGCACACACACCCTCCCCAGACCCTTTTTTCTGGGATTTCAATGGGTTTGTTGTTGTTGTAGTTAATGCTCTATTTTTGGCTTTCAGTTAATTAGTATGGGTGTATTAAGAAACCAACTTTGAATTTTCATAAATAATGCATTCTCAATAGATGTTTATCTGGCAAGAGTGAGCATTTCTTCCCTTATTGCAAGCCTGCAAGATGACTATGTATAAACCAGGAACAATTGTTAATAAATTGATTAATTTAAAAATACATTTATGGAGAGCTTTTAGTTACCATGATCTATGGAGAGCTTATATGGAGAGCTTTTAGTTACCATGATCATTTTTCTTCGTAACAATCATAGAAACTCAAATTTGAGATCTAGTTATGCTACATTTCTCTGTACTCTAGATACATCTGTAAGTTTCTCCAAATTTACATGATTGATCTCCATATGCCTTTGATACATCCTTATTGCTAAGTATCCCATGTCAGTTTTATATTATGTTTGATTCTAGTATATGAGTGTGAGATAAAGTTCACCTCTTCATGGCACTTTGTCGGGTCGCCTGCCTATGCGATTGTTATGCATTTAATTTGGGGTTGGTTTAGGTCCATTTCTTCACCACTTGAGTTATCCAGATTCCAATTCAGTTTGAGCAGAGTAAGGTGTGTTCAGTATCCTACATCAACTGTATCCTCTGATCACTATTATATTTAAGTGTATAACTGAGCGGCGAATATCACCTTTTATAAGTGCTTCCCAATTTAGCACTCATAAGTCTCTTGCAGTTGCATTATCTGATAATGGCATTCTGTTCTCTGTCCCAATCATAATTTTTATGTGCTAATGAGAATTTACACCAAACAGTCTTGTGGCCCTTGCACGTGTATCAGCAAAAACATCCACTGAATTTGGTCTTCCTTGGACTTTTTACTGCATCTTTGAGTCTCACCGTTGGCATGAGCTGTGCTAACACAGAAGGTGTCTACTCTTTTCTTTTTCTTTACTTATTCTACAAAGATTGAAGTGAGCGTGCCATTCCTCAGCCGGAAGTGTTTGACATTTGTGTGTGGGAAAAATCACAGGGGGGATTGTGCTTGAGGCTTTAATCTTAACCTCGGCAGTAGTTTCAGCTTTAACTGGGTACACTTTCTGGGCTGCTAAGAAGGGCAAAGACTTCAGTTTCATGGGACCTATCCTGTTCACTGGTCTTTTTGTGCTTATATTGACTGGCTTCATCCAGGTATGTATTACTTTATTTCCACTTTTAGCCTTGATGTGCAGCTCAGTTCTAATTGTTGACAGACGTGCCCCTATTTATTTCTAGGTTTTAGAAGCAATAAACAAATGTGAAATTATTATGAGAGGCAATTTCAGTCGTTCCTACTTTGCCTTCATTGAATTGCTTCATGATTGGTTATTTGTGACAAAATGTGTCTAGCAAATGGACAATTATTAAAGAACGTGGGGTGTAAGAGTATGCAACGGTCCAACTTAAATACAACAACCAAGTCATGAGCTAATAGTTTAATATGGGGACAAGTAATTACTATTAGGGTCCGTCTGGAAAGATGAAAAATGACATCTGGAAAATGATCTCCGAAAACGAGTTTTTAAAAGTGACTTCTCGAGAATAAATTCATTATCTGGTGTTTGGTTGAATGTTTGGAAAATGACTTATGGGAAGTCGTCCCCCCTTCCCAAACGGACCCTTAGATCAGATCAGATAACTGGCTTAAATTCTGGGTTCTTCCTCTTTGTGTTGCAACTTGCACGCACTATTGCATGTATCACATACATACGTTATACAATAATGCAGGCATTTTTCCCTTTCGGATCGACAATGGATGCCATCTATGGTGCAATCAGTGCAATAATCTTTTGCGGATACATTGTGTATGACACAGACAACTTGATCAAGCGGTTCACGTATGATCAGTACATATGGGCATCTGTCACTCTGTATCTGGACGTCCTCAACCTCTTCCTTACAATTCTTCGGGCGCTAAAACGACACAACTAACTCCGCAATGGCCCACCCATGGTATGTATCCAAACTTCATCCCCTGGGCAATGCTTTATTACTACTAGTACTCGTATTTTTTAAGGAAAGTAAATGTGTAGATAAATGTCACTCTACCCATCAACCCAACGAATTTTACTCCCTAAATTTTATTATATTGAGTAACTCCAGACTAGTTTGGACTTTGGAGTAATCCCAAGTTGTCTTTCAAGGAAAGTAAATGTGTAGATAAATGTTACTCTACCCATCAACCCAACGAATTTTACTCCGTAAATTTTATTATATTGAGTAACTCCAGACTAGTTTGGACTTTGGAGTAATCCCAAGTTGTCTTTCAAGGAAAGTAAATGTGTAGATAAATGTTACTCTACCCATCAACCCAACAAATTTTACTCCGTAAATTTTATTATATTGAGTAACTCCAGACTAGTTTGGACTCTGGAGTAATCTCAAGTTGTCTTTCTCGCGGCTTGCGGTGTTTTCTGGGAAGTTGTGTGTGTTGGTGAATTTAGTGTCATCAGTTTATTTTGTGTAATTGGATTTACTTAGATCGGACACGAATTTAAATAGACGTTGTCAAACGAGTTAGGAGGTGCGGAGTGCGCTCTCGTTCAACGATATTACAAATTCACTGCGGGGGTCCGGGGGAGGCAGCCCCCGGGATAGCGGGGATTCGGGGGCGGCATCCCCGGGTAGCGGGGTCCAAGGGGCGGCAGCCCCTAGCGGGGCAGAGCCCCTGACCGGGGTCGAGCTTGGAAATTTTTTATTTCGGACATTGTTTCTTTACGAAAATCCTTTACGAAAATCCTTAAGATTTTCATGACCGGAGTCCAAAACGGTAAAAGACTCGTACAAAGAAGATAACCTCGAAATAGAGCCTAAAACCGCAGGAGACCTTTCGTTCAAACTCGCGCCTTTCTTCTTCCTCGCGCGAACGTACGCGTACATCTACATGTCTGATCATGAGGATTTTCGACTCTATAAAATAGAGTCTCGTGGTATGGGTTGAGATACAGATTTTCGAGTGCTTGTTCTTAATTAACGTCTTATCCGATTAAAGTATTTCGTATACCCCGAAATAACTTTGATATGAAAGCGTTTCGTACGCGATTCGTTATACGATCGAGTTCTTCTTTAACACTTATTCGCAGTGTTCTTCCTTAAACAATTCCAACAGTGTGGTTGAGATTTACGCAGACGAGAGGGAAATAATATGAACCACACCACAATTATCCTCTTTTCCCTAACAGTTTGCTTCACTCTGCACACCAATTGCCCCTCCCATGTTCTTTCTTCTCCAAAAGTTGCAAGTTTTTCTTCTTCAATTTGTTTCTTTCCATGCTTCTAAATTTTTTTCTTTTGTGGGCATTTTTCACAAACGATCTTTTACTGTTTAGGGTAAAGGCAATGTTTGCGTGTTTCTCACCTTCTCAGGTCATAGGATTTACCAGGGAGTACACCATTGTTAGAATCTACAACCTCTCTCCCTCTGAGTTATTGTTCAGTTTTTATTTATTGCAACCAAAATGGACAAATTTTGACTATTATTACATAAAATTGGTATTAGATATTAATACAAAAATAATATTATTAGATTTGTTTTATATAATATTTTTATAATGTTGTTTATCTAATCAATGTACTCTATAAATTTTATACTCCCTTTGTCATGGAGTATTTGTCTAATTTTGACTTTTTTTCGGTCAAAATTGGTAAACTTTGATCTCAAATTAAATAAAAATGATATTGATACAACAAATGTTTTATTAGATTTATTATATAAAATATTTTCAAAATATTATTTTATCTAATTAATATACAATTATTTAATTATAGGTTAAAGGTTGAAAACGGTGGATTGAAAAAAGTCAAAATTGGATAAATATTTTGGGATGGAAGTAGTATATTCAAAGATTAAAAATGATTCACTATAAAAAGTTAAAATAAGATAAATACTTTGGAATGAAGGTACTATGTTATAATGAAGATGAATGCATTGCAAAAATACTGGAGATCTATATGCCTTGAAAAAATGAATAAATCCTTAAAATTTATATTCCAAAATATACTCTAAAAATTTATACTTATGTTTTGTTTCAATGTATGCGAGATTGATTACTTACATTGAAACAAAATGTTAGTGTAAATTTTGTGATCACACTCACATTTTGTGTTAATATAAGCCATTAAATATAAATGTAAACTTTTGGTGTATATTTTTGGCTACAACCTTGCCGAAAAGATACTATGAAAGAATCGAACCGAACAATATTAAAAATTTCGAATTAAACAGTATTGTTCAGTTTAAGTTTAACCGTTTAAGAGGGTGTTTGGGAGTGATTAACTTGTAGATAAAGTGATTTCCACAAAAGCTACAAGCAAAAGCACTTCATACTTGCTTCTCCGAAACAGTGTTCTATGTACAAATTAGTGGGGTGAAAAGCAGAAGCTTACATGCCAAACAGAGTAAAATCACTTTCACTCAAAGCAGAAGTTAAATTATTAAAAGCGACGCAATGCCAAACATCCTAAGTATTGTTGGGTTTGATACGGTTCAATAGAAGTACTAAATTTTTTAATATTTTTGGTTAATCAATTAGAATTACTGAACCACAAAATTCAAATTCAATTCCATTTCATCAATTAAAAACAAACTAGAAAATTCAGCTTAATCAATCTCAAGTAAACCAAAAATAAATAAATACAGAGTAGTCAATTAGAAGTAAACCTTAAATTCTTAGGGTTTCTAATTCCAACTTCAATTCAGCACAAACAATCAGATGTGAACCTACATTCTTGAAATTTCAAAACCTGAATTAAATAAGGGGAGTTAAAATAGTAACTTAAAGGAAAAAAGAACTCGATTTTAGAAGAAAGCGTGAAGAAAGAAAAAGCATAGCCATTACCAAAGGAAGAATATAATTTCAATTCACTTTGGTGCGAGTCCGACCGGACGATGACTGAAAAGAAGTAAATTAGAGTTTAATCATAGATTGGTGGCAAAAGGTAGAACATGCATTTAGTACTTGTAAAAGTCCTATGTTAGCATAGTTGTCTCCCAGCACAGTTGTGCGAAATTGAATTTGGATCTTAACCCTAATTTGACACTCCTTGTCTTTACCAACCGCGCAATGTCCACCTGCGAGTTACCATTTTGGAAGAATATAGAAGTGAGGAGAACTTTAGGTGCGGTGGAGAAGGTAGTGTGTATAGTTCCGTCAATAAGCAAACAGAAACACAACAAAGAAACGAAGACTTAACATCTTTGGCTCTTACTCACGCTGTCCCAAAAAACTTCACAGTTTACTATTCAAAAATCACGAAAGTTTTTTATTATTTGTAAATATTCCTGTCACTTCTTATTTTGAAAAAATTTTGATGTACTCCCTCGTTCCAAGTTAAATTCCCTGCTTCTATTACTATATTATTAAATCAAATGACTAATGAAAATAGAGAAATAAAGTGAATAAAGTTTCACTATGTGAATACTATATATGCAATATAATTTGAGATGGAGGGAGTAGTTTTTAAGTATGCAACTTTTATTTTTTATTTCTATACCAATCTTTAAATAAAATAGACTAAAAAAAACTTCGGTTTGCGTAGTTTGCGTAATGTGACAAATATTTTGGGACGGAGTGATTATTATATTAGATCATCACTAAGGGGTAGCATGGGGGGGGAGTTGATTATGTGACATGGGAGAATCATTCTAAAGAATGAAGAAAAATGGAGGGGGTGTGGTTTGAGAGGGGAATAAAATACTCCTAGAGAGAAGTTTTGATTAAGTGTACAATTACACATTAGATTTGACTGTTTGAAAATAAAATAAATATTTTGAAATAAATATAAAAAGAAGAAAATAATTAGATTGGGGTGAAGAAAATAAAAAGAGAAAATGATGTGGGGCATAAAAAATAATGATGTGAAGGGCAAGAACTCTCAAGTCTCGCCGAATCACGTCCTCCGATCTTAATACTTCTTAGGTCTAGCTCTACCTCTACTCCCCCCCCCCCAAAGTATGCCCATCGCATCTCCGCAGTGGAGCATCGGTGCTTCACCGACTCACACGCCCAAACCACCTTAGCCTAGCTTCCCGTAGCTTATCTGCCACGCATACCACACGCACCCGTCCTCGGATAACGTTGTTCCGAATTCGATGCATTATAACACGAGTTTTTTTAACATGAGTTTTTTTTAACAACCCAGCATTCATAACACCATACAACATATATAGAAGGTCTGATTACGGAACAAAACTTTTATCCTAACTGAAATTCTCAATCCTTATCATCGCACAAAATCCCTGAAGCCACATCCACTTAGTTCCCCCGCTTGTCATTAATATTTTTAAAATATTATTTTAAATCTCTTGTAACATTTTTATTTAAATCTAAGATATGCACATAAAATGGAGCCATTATATTGTTTAGGACTGCAAGAAAAATAATTATTGGACTCATTGTGTTTCAGGCTTTGAGGATTGTATGGAAGGTGGTGGGTGGGTACAATGATTTGGCAGTCACATTTTGCATCAACATCGAGAGATCTTCTTGATCCATGCATGGCTCGAGGGATTGCACCAAGAATATTATCATAAATAAGCATGTTATGGTTTTGAAGAATCCTCACCTATTTTATTAGTTGTTTAAAACTTTTCAAATACAAAAAGAGACGCCTTGAAGTTTGGTAATTTGATACTTCATATGTTTACTTTTTGTAAATTAGAAAAAAAGTGCAATTTGTACTAAAGAGGACTAAGACATAAATTATTTTCCAATGTTTAAACTTTTTTATTCCCTAAATAGGACTTAATAATGTCTAGTGGGAAAAATAATGTCCAGTGATAGTAGACCTTTACATTAATAATGACTAATGGATAATGATCAATGGTCTTAAATTTGAAAATAAAAACATATGATCTTATATTGAGAAAGTCATTATGTTTTTTAAAATACTCTTAATGAAATTCGTTAAGTTAGAGTTTGTTAAATGAAGTGTGTGAGATGGAGTAATAAATATAATATGTAATGATATTTGGTATTTTAAATGTTAAAAAAGTAATAGGATGATCTTTGTAGACAAACAAAAATGATATTTGAAAAGATCTATGACAGACGAAGGAAGTATGATTTTTTAATTATGAAACATCTATCCTACACAGCATATTCTTGTTTATTACTCTGTATAAAGGGGAATATTAGAAATTAATATCAGAATTACACATTTGTATTATACATCTTTTCTCATCTTTGAAAAGTTTTATGGGACAGATAAATTAAAGTATAATGTATATATGGTGGATTATCATATAAATTTAAATATATGAACAAAATCACGTCTTTGATCTAGATATTCCATTCTTGATTAAATTTTAAATTTTAATACTCCCTCCGTGCTAAAATTAAACGTTCTTCCCAGTTATTATTCACACGGTCAAACTTTAATAACTTTCTTTACCTATTTTTGACAGTTATTTGATAAAATAATATAATCTTGTTATCTCTTGTTTTGTATAACTTTTGATTTAGTTTTTAAATATGTAAATTTTATTTTTTAATTTTATACCCACAATCAAATAAATTAAATTGAAAATAACGTCGGTCAAACCTCGTAAACAAAAACGGGAAAAAAGTTTTAGGACGGAGGGAGTATTTTATAAGAGAGATTTGTCTCTCTTATAAAAATATAGCAATTCAAAAGTTTTGGTGTGTCGTTTTCAAGAAAAAACATAGTGCGTGGGCTATTGAAAAAAAAAACCACCTAAATAGGAGTAAATCATTAAGCATATACCCAAAATAGGAGTTCATAACTTATATACCCAAAATATGAGTAATTAATTAAGCTCCCCACTCCTTAATTATCCGATCCATAAATCTGCTCCCTTCTCTCATTCAATTCCGATCCCTTCTTTGTCATTTTTCCTTCGACTCCCTTCGTCACTGCAGCCCCTTATCTCGATCTTCGCCGCCCACCTCCTTTGCCTCCGCCCCATTCTTTCCAAGTCCTCAACAAAGAGATCCTTGGTGATGCTTTTGTCTCACTTCTTTTGTTCATTAAAAGGGTATGCATATAAAACTTTGATTTCATCAACTTATGAGATAATTATAAATGGGTATCGATCTACTCCCTCCGTCCCCCTGTATTTGTCCACTTTCATTTTTCCACACCATCCAATACACTTCTTTAATCCATTTTATCTTGTAATTTGTATATTAAAAAATTATAAAAATTATATATTAATAATCTATATGTTAAGACAAATCAAACAAGATCACACATGACTATATTTAGGCTTACACATTGAGAGAATTTGATGAGTCAAAGTGCTTAGATGAACAGTTCCAAAAGTCAAATGTGGACAAATACAGGGGGACGGAGGGAGTANCCCCCTGTATTTGTCCACTTTCATTTTTCCACACCATCCAATACACTTCTTTAATCCATTTTATCTTGTAATTTGTATATTAAAAAATTATAAAAATTATATATTAATAATCTATATGTTAAGACAAATCAAACAAGATCACACATGACTATATTTAGGCTTACACATTGAGAGAATTTGATGAGTCAAAGTGCTTAGATGAACAGTTCCAAAAGTCAAATGTGGACAAATACAGGGGGACGGAGGGAGTATCATTTTTTATTGTCTCTTCAAAGAAATCTACTATAGATAGATGTTCATTGAAGAGAGCATAACCCCCGAAGACTTATGAATTATGAATGATACAGTGACATATTTGTTGTTAATCAATGTTATATTTGGCATTTTGCTTTTCTCGTTGACATAATACAGTGGCATATTTGTACTTATTAGAGGCTATGTTTGGCACTATAGATTGTAATATTTGGCATTGTATATATTATTGTTGCATTGTATAAAAAGAATTTTTCTTTAACAGTCATTATAAGACAATAATACTACGGAAATGATGACAGATCCCGGTGGTGTTGGCCTGGCGGCGAAAGAGGCAAGCTTGGTGATGTGAGAAATCACCGGCAACATTCGATTACACGGTGCAGGGTACAACAGTAGGGTGGTGTCACTTGCGACGGAGGCGCACTTGATGACGTGGGGAATCACTAACGACAATAGATTGCACGGCAGCAGCGGGTGGCGGCGGTTCATGGTGGCAGTGACGGTGGGTCGGTGGTGGTTGTGGCCATTGCACATTTTTGTGCTAGATTGTTGGTTGATTGCTCGGGGTAGCGAATGAGGCGAGCTTGTTGCTATATTTGGCAGTTTGCTTCTCTTTGACGTTATTCTTGTGACAACTTAAACACAAGAATAACGCTAAAAAGTGAGGAAGAGATCAGCAGGGGAGGGAGTGCATGAGAAGGTTAATTATATTAATTAAGTTAATTGCTCTTATTTAAGAGAGTTTAAATTTCAACTCTTATTCAGAAGAGTTGGTATATGTTTTACTCTTACTTTGGTCATTTTCCCTTGAAAAAAAAAAGAGTTTTGTTCAAGAAAAACTTGCAAAACAAAAAAAAATTGTAGCGAGTTGCTCTTCATGTCCCTAAAATTTCAAAAATGCCGAGTTTATTTTAAATTTGTTGCAATCAATTAAGATCAACGTATATTTAAACTATAATTAAATAAAAATTACTTGTACATACGTGGTATACATTAATACTCCAAAGCAGAGCTAATATATAAGAGTTAGCATCGTTTTTACAATATTTGTAATGTTAGGGGCTGTTTGGCAACTTCTGAATAGGTAAGTGTTGAACCAGTAAGAGATCTGAACCATTAAGTGCTGAACCAGTAAGAGGTCTGAACCATTAAGAGCTAGTATATTGCTTAACTATTCAGAGGCAAATGTCTGATCAATTCAGATAAGAGGTCTTAACCATTCAGACCCTGTATAATACTTAACCATTCAGAGGCAAATCTCTTAACCATTCAGATATCTGAACCATTAAGAGGCTGAAACAAACAGTCTGAACTATTAAGTATTGAACCATTCAGACATCTGAACCATTAAGAGGCTGAAACAAACAGCCTCTTATTTTGGAAAAAGTAGAGAAAGTTATATGAAATGGGACTATAACATGGAACATTTGCAGAAATATAGCATTTTTGAAATTTTTACACAAAAAAAAGAGAGTTATTCGTGTCCATATAAAAATGTTGTTATTTAGTTAGTTTTTAATTAAGAGATTATATTCGAGATTATGCACTAATATAATGTTAGTTTTAATTAAGAGATTATATTCTTTTCGGCCAAATAGCGTCAGTACCCCCCGTGGTTTGCAAAATAAGCAGCAATACCCCTTCTGTTTTCAAAACTTATTTCTAAAGTTCTTATGATTTCAAAACGCTGCACCTGTGCCCCCTCTGATCATTTTTCGGTCATTTTTCCGGCGAAGAAAGGAGACATTCGTGCATATTTTCTAAACCATGTGGGGTACCAGTGCTGATTTTTTATTTCTCTCTTTTTTTCCCATTTTTTCCTTTATTTGTATCATTTATTAATAAAAGTTATTTTACAATTACTTTTATAATGTTCTTAAAATTTAAAGTTATTTTTATTTGAAAAAAATAACATATAATGCATCGGCACGTCTCAAATTAACAAGTTTTGTTTTTTCCAAAAAAAGGTAATTTTTTTTAAAACTTCTAAAAACTGATGAATAAAATAACAAAATAATACAAAAATAAAAATGATTATCATTTTTGGACATCTCAATTTTAAGGATATTTTTAGGCGTGTTCCAAAATTGTTTTTTGTAGAAGACTCTTTTTTCGTATTTTAATTTTTTCATTTCGTTTTTCCATATTTTTATTTTGGGTTTTCCTTTTGAACTTTCCAAAAAATTATTCTATGTAAGAAAAAGTGAAAATGTTTAATTAGAGATAGATGTAATGTATGTTAATTTTTTTTATTAGTTCAAACACAGAATTTTAAAAGTTTTTAAAACATTATAAAAATTTGAAAAGAAATTTTAAAAAAATCTAGGAAAAGGAAAAAGAAGGAAAAACACAAATAATAAACAAAAAATAAGAAATGAGCACGAGTGCCCCCTATGGTTTAGAAATTATGCGCTGATGGTGTAAATATAGCGGGGTGGGTTAACCGGGTTTGACCTGGACACACTCAACCCGTAATATAAAACACACAACAAGAACACAAAGTATAACATAGACCGGGTAAATCTCCTCAGTCCGAATTATATTTCTTACTCTATCTCAAGAGTGAACTTTCGTGAGAGAAAAATTGGATCCCCTCCTCTATCAAATATCATCATATTTATAGAGGAGAATTTGTGACCCTCCCCTGTTCATCCATGGACAAAATAGGAAGCTCGTGGGAAGGTCACTGTAGATAATGGAAGCACTGTACAATCATAGAATTTAGCAACTATAAGCCAAGACATGTACTGTTCAATCAAAAACTATAGATGGATATTCTCAATCCAATCAGCCCTGCAAAGTGACAAACATCCCTTTCACTGTTTGTCTCGTGATGGACGAACGGCGGGGTGGTCCCTCGATCTTTGACGTGGTTCACCATGCCTGAGATACTGGACCAATGTTTGTCAAGTAAGATGATATGACCGGTCACCTTTTTCTCAAAGGTTGACCGGTCATTTCTTGAGCTCAACCCGTCTCTTTGGTCTTCTTGAATTCTTCACAACATTAGGTGATATTTTGGCTATCGCCCAAAATGTGACCGGTCACTTTTTTAGTGGAAGTGACCGGTCAACTTTTGACCCGTCCCAATCGAAGAGTTAACCTCATTTGGTGATTGATAAAAGTGACCGGTCATATTT